ACACACCTGGCCATGGAACAGCTGAGAAGCCAATTGTCCCATTACTTTTGGTCCCTTAACAAGTGGGAGGCACATATGCAAACTGTTGTAAGTCCTACACCATTCACCTGAGTTGGATGTACATACCCTCAAATTAAAGCTGACAGTCTGGTGTATAGAGCCAAAGATGTTAGAATTGTGTCCATGTCCCAATATTTCTGGACCTGACTGTAAGTCAAATGAATTCAGTGAAAATGGTTTATTTAAGAAATGTGTGCAGTAAAACAAGAAGAGATAGGGTAAAAATAAATGGGTGATGAATAACAAAAGTGAATTGTGAGTATGGAAGAAGTATATTGAGGTGGTTTGGTCTTATAAACAGAATTGCAAAACATACATGAAGGAAGAGTGAATGGACAGAAAGGAAAGAGAAAACCAAGAAAAATGTGGTTGGATGGAGTTGATGGGTGCCTCAAAAAGAGAGATAAGAAATTTGAAACACAAAAGATAATATATCAATTGATATATGGCAGAACCCAGAATGGTTTGTAAGGACAGAAAGACGTGGAACAGTATTGTGAATGATGTTAGTGCTAATTAGAACTAGTTAGATTTTGTTTTCTTTTATTTCCTGCCTTTATTTTGCCCACAACATTTAACTCTATTCTGTACATAGTAGTGCTTGTCCCAGAAGTGTGATGGATATACATTCTTTATGAGTTCAATTAAGAAAAATAATACTGGCAAAAATGTTGTGTTGTGGAGAAATAGATTCAGATGAAAAAAGGAAACAAGTTGAAATGCATCCTTCTTCATTACCTTAATTCAGAGCAGGAGAAACATAAATGATTTTACTTCCTAGCTGGCCACAGATACTTGGATGATACTGACTATAGTCAGATCTCCCAGATCTGAGTTATAAATAAAAAAACATGAGCATAGTATTGTGATACTTAGCAAGAGTTCTTGGAAATGCTCATGAGGAACAGAATTAGAACCCAGGTAAATTGATATTCTACCTGAGCTGAGTCACATATCCTGCCTAGTAACTGTATAAATCTCCCTCAAGTCCTGCTATGCTGCCTCACCATAATGGGGTGGTGGGTTCTTAGGAGGGAAGAGTGGAGAATGCCAGGAATGTATGCCAAGTGTATATGCTCCCAGCAGAATCACCTAGGGCATGAATATCATCCCAGTTGTTTAACTAAAGCAAGTAGGTACATATATTAGGCAGCGGTGATATAGAATGATATTGGAGGTGGATGATCATTTTAGTGACAGTAGCAAAAGCATAATTTCATACTGCTTGGGAGAAGGCAATGGGAAACCACTCTAGTATTTTATCAAGAAAAGCACATGGATAGGCAATATAAAGTGATTGATGATATCGTGCCAGATGATGGGCCCTTCAGCTCAGATGGCACTCAACACTCTACTGATTTGGTGTATTAATAGTGTTAAGGAAGGCTTAATTAAAGTCTTTGGGATATATAGTTGCTGATCTTGCCATGCAAGAAAAGCAAATTCACTTGCAAAGGCAGTGGAACATGGGTGGAACATAAGAAGCATGAACATGGGAAAGTTCAACATAGTGAAAGATGAAATGAATGGACTACACATTGAAACCTCAGCTTCAGCGAACTGAAATGGCCTGGAATTGGACACTGTCAGTCAAAGAAATCATACTGTTTACTACTCAGGACACCAGAAATAAAGAATATAGCAGAGACAGTACTAGGATAGTCAATGGCCAAATAATACCAATTAGAATCTCCAGACAACCTTTTAATATGGTGGTTTTCCAAATTTATGCTCCAACTAAGTTAATGCAGAAAAATAGGTTTATGGTCAAATTCAATTTGATATCAAAAGAACATATAAGCAAGAACATGTGCTGTTTGTGGCTGGAGAGTGGAATGCAGAGTTGGAAATAATGAGGAAAATGTAATTGGACTGTATGGCAGTTTGGAGTGTGGGTAGGTGGGTGGCTGTTGTGGCCTGGCAGGTGGGTGCCATGGGCATGTGCTATGGAGTGTGGGTGGGTAGGTGGGTGCCATGGGCAGGCACTACAGAATGCAGGCAGGTGCATGGGTGCCACTGGCAGGTGGACAGGTGCTGCAGGCAGGCAGTACCGAGCGTCGATGTGTGTGTGAGTAAGTGGATGCTGCAGACAGGTGCTATGGAGCACTGGTCAGTGGGTGGCTGCTGTGGGCAGGTGCTATGGAGCATGGGCAAGTGCACAGGTAGGTGCTATGGAGTGTGGGCAGGTACGCAGGTGCTGCGGGTGGGTGGGCAGGCAAAAAAGTGGTAGAAGTCACTTGCAACCTCCTGCTGGCTTCCCCATTGACTTTGCTTGTAGGAAATGGTGATGACATGACCATGTGATGCTTGTAATTGCCAAGAGTGTGAATCACAATCCCATGACCATGGGGATGCTATGACAGCCACAACTTTGCAGACTGGTCATAAGTCCCCCTTGTTCAGCACTGTTGTAACTTTGAACAGTCGCTGAATGAGTGGTCGTAACCTGAGGACTACATGCATGCTAAAGGACGCCAATAGACAGATGGTAACTGGTTTAAAGGAGATAAAGATGGAAGGAGTATACTGAAACTCTGTACAGAAGAGATATCAACATACAAGATACCTTAGAAGATACCCTCTATTCACAAGAACCTCTAGTATTAGAAGATGATATTAGCAGTCCAATCATTACTGGATTGGATCACTACAGGAATAGATGAAATACCCACAGAAATATGGGAATCAACAGAAGAATTAGTAAACATTCTAACCAAACTATGCCAGAGAATCTGGAGAATGTGGATGACAGATTGGAAGAGGTCAGCCTACATAGACTGGAAGAGGTCAGCCTACATAGTTATACCAAAGAAACGAGACATAACAGAATATGCAAATCATTGTGCAATATCCTTAATATCCTTAATTTCACCTGCTATCAAAATAATGCTTAGGATAATCCATTGCAGATTACAGCCATACACGGAAAGAGAGATGCTAGATATTCATGCTGATTTTAGGAAAAGCTGAGGAACAAGAGACATTCCTGCTGATGCATAACTGGATAATTGAAAAAGCAAAAGAATACCAGAAGTCAATATGTGCTTCGCTGATTATAGAAAGGTGTTTGATTGTGCCAACCATGTCAAGTCATTGAATATCCTTAGGAAAATGGGAATCCCAGAACAATTCACTATCTTCATGAGAAACCTTTATACAGGAGAAGAAACCACAGTTTAGTTGGAACATGGCTCCAGGTTGGCAAAGGAGTAAGACAAGGCTGTATACTTTCTCCTTATTTATTCAACCTATATGCTGAGTACACACTGAGGGAACTTGGATTGGAAGAAAATGAGCATGGTTCTAAAACTGGGGGAAGAAATATTAATAACCGATGCTATGCTGATAATACTACTCTGATAGCTGAAAATACAAATGATCTAGAAGCTCTAGTAATGAAAGGCAAGGGGCACAGTGAAAAAATTGGACTAAGATTAAAGAAGACAACAGTTACAGCAACTAGCCTTAGAAGTGACAGACATTGAAATGGATAGCTGCTGCCTTTTAGGATAGACTATCAACAGTAAAGGTATCATCAGTCAAGAAATACATTGTTGAATAGCACTTGGTACAATAGTGATAAATATCTTAGAAAAGATATTCAGATGCCATGATGTGTCTGTACCTACAAAGATCAAAATTACACAGGCAATGGTTTCTCCTGTGACACACTACAGAAGTGAAGACTGAACAATAAAAAAGTGGGACAGAAAGAATATTAACACTTCTGAACTTTGGTTTGGGAGAAGACTCCTGAGAATACTCTGGATTACCAAGGCAACAAAAAATAGACTATAGAATAAATCAATCCAGAGACACTTGAAGAAATGACCAGGCTCAAATTATTGTATTTTGGACAAATTATGCAGAGACCTTGTTCTCTTTAGAAGTCTATAATGCTGGGAAAGGTGAAAGGAAAAAGAAGGAAAGAGTGACCAGCAGAAAGGTGGATGGACTCGATAGTGGCAATGGGTGCACTTGGAAGACCTGAAGAGACAGACTGGGGACAGATCATCCTGGAGAAGGTCTGTCAATGTGGTCGCTAACAGTTGACCCCGACTTGATGGCACATAATAAATTAATCCTATATAAAAAGAAAAACTAAAGAAAATTTGGGCAAATACTGTGGTCCCATACTCAAAGGTACTTCTAAATTTTAAAACAAAGAGTAAATAGGGTTCAGTAGATCCAAAACTAAATCCAAGATCAGGCATAATGAAGGGATGAAAAGTCTAATTATAAGGAATGAAAGAGAACCTCAGGAATATTCCTAGTTAGTTGTGTGAATTGATGATAACTGATTGAACATTGAAAATGTAGTAGAAGATAGGAATCTACTAGTAACTACTACTTTAATATAGGAATTTTTGAATAATTGGGACCTATTTCCCATCAAGACTCTGAATTAGCTAATTCACCCTTGTAGGTTAACTGGCTGAGTAATGATGTAGCAGTCAGATAGGCATTTGCAATTATCTGCAATTGCATATTTTGAACCTCCTACTGCTATCTAGGATTCTGTTCTGATCTTCTAACCTAGTGTCTTTTTCAGAAATAGTGGGTCAGTATAACGTCAGGCTAAAAATAAAGAAAAGCTATTCATACCCAGTCCAAACTTTTTCTTTAGCTCACAGGGGAGCAAGAAGTTGTTTTGATGTCTCTGGCTTCAATCTGGGATTTTTTTGTAATGATGAAACAATGTTTTAACATTTCAATAAAAGGACAGGACAAAATTGTTCAGAAGTCATACAAACCATGCATATTATATAAAGAGACTCCATTAACTACTATACCTTATAGCTTCCTCCACAGATTGGCTGACTATATTTGAAGATGCATCAGACTGTGACAAAGGGATCAAGTTGATCACCCACTTCACTGGCTTATAATATTCATCACTGGAACTTAGAAGGTAGAATAATGTGGTCAGGAAAATCACCTGTAAAACAGGTAGAAGAAAACTTGAATTTTTAACTCAAAGTTCCGAGTATTATGAAAGAAAGAAAAAAAGGAAAAATAAATCTGTTTTCAGCAAATAAGTAATTCCTAAAACAGTTTTTCCCATACTCCCTCTTTCCTTTAGATGGGATCTTGGTCAGGGCTGTCCAGAGAGTTCAATGAGATAGAGTACTTCTTTGTGCCTTAGGACCTTGAAAATACCAATCTTTCCAACTGAGTAACTGTTTTAACTCTCCACTAGGATCAGAGAAGTAATGTGAGCATTTTTAGTTTCTAAATTCATGCTTTATTTATATTTAAAAGCTATTTGGCATGGCCTGTAGGATATAATCAGATCTAGAGACCATAATGAGCACTAGAACTAGTCCATTTGTGTGGACAAAAAACAGCTTCTAGTACAGCAGATTCATAGGATTTTGAGGAAACAATATTTGTACTGCAGTGGAGGAATTTACATCTGCTGGTTACAGAGCTTAACAGTAGACCTGACCTCAAATATTTTTCTGCCTGAGACAAATAAGATAGTGCACTTCCTCATTCCAAGTATAGAAGCTGAATGGAATAACAGAGGAATCATACTTCAGTATTTTTTTTCAGAGAGCTTTGCTGGGATTTTCAGCTGGATATAGTCCTGGAATTTGGGACTTTAAAGCCTTCTATGCTAGAGCAAAGCCTGACCAATCTACTTGAGTCAGTGATGCAAAAATCCTGCTG